GAATGACGCTCAGCTGCGCCTCCCGGGCAACTGCCTCTATTTGGAGAGAAGTGGCCCACAAGCACACAGGAACCAGCACAGTTTGGCAGGAAGCCTGCATTCTGCAAACCCCAAGGGCAGGAAGTCCACACACACCAAAGGGTCCCCACCACACCCTGTGAGAAGGAAGGGTCAGCCAGAGGGGATGGGATGGGTTGTTTCCTCTTCAAAGTAAGGCTTTGAAGAGACGCCCCGGGGCAGTTAGAAGCGGGGTGGCTAAGGGCACACACATGTTTCTCACACCCACCCAATTCCTGACCTTAATGTCACTTAATAAGGCAGGCCTGGAGTCCTATCTGCAAGGAGAATTGCAGATCACTTGGCTAGGCTCCACATATGAGGTGGCTCTGTAATCTGAGCAGTGTGTCCACTAACAACTAGAGCAAGACCATTAAGTTCATTACACCTGTCACTCTGCCAGCTGAGTCGCCAAACTGCCACGATAAAAGTACATTATGCCCAAGGAGTGCCACCCAACCCCCTTCCAGACAGCGTACAGCCATCTCCGGCAGACAGTCGGTGCTTGGTGTCTGTACCTGCATAAAGGCCACAACTGTAAACAGCTTTGGAACTGGGCTGTGGAATACCTCAGGCTCCCGGCAGCTATGAATGCTTCGCTTTCCTGGGAAGAAGAATGTGGATATAGACCAGAAGACCAAGATAGAGACAGGGATGGACAGCTTAATAATAATAATATAATAATAATAATAATAATAATAATAATAATAATAATAATAATGGGGGACAGATTTGTTAAGTGGATTCTGCTGTACGGCCCGAAGTGAAAGTGAGAGACACACCCTTTTCACCTCTCTCAACCAAGTCCCAGCACTCCAGGCGGCAGGCAGCGGCCTCCTGCGCAGCTGTACCTTCAACCAGGCCCCAGGAGCAGCGCGGAGCCAGCCGGGCTTGCAGTGCAGCCACGTTGCAGACAGCAGCAATGTATTTATCCCTGTCACGTAACATTAACAATCTGTCTGGAGCTTGGCAAGCACCAACTTGCACTGTCATATAAACTGTCTGACAAACTTAAAAGTTTCATAAATGCTTCTCTTTCCCCAACAGACAACAAAGCATCATTTAAAAAAAAAAAAGTTGTCATCTTTTCGGTTCTCTCTCTCTCTCTCTCTCTCTCTCTCTCTCTCTCTCTCTCTCTCTCTCTCTCTCTCCCTTTTTCAAAAACTAAGGGAGAACAAGAAAGAAAATCGGCCACAAAAGGACCCAAGCAGTCAGGAGTGACCTGTCAGTGATCTCCACCACCTCACTGTTTTTCCTACACCAAGTAAATGAATGAATAGGGTGGGGGCGCCATATGGGGTCAGCTATGAGGGCACCGGGGTACTGAAGCAAAATCTGCAAAACAAAAATATAGTCATTAAAAATTAATAAAGGGTGTGGACATTCAGCCCCCACCTCGGTCTACTCATGGGAATTCGAGCCAGACATTCTGCGTCCTCATTAAGTGGATGCTGGCAGGCTGTCAGGGTTTTAGTGGGTTCTGGGAATGCCAATATATTAACCAGAAGACTTTTTGCATACCCTTTAGAGTTTTTATTCTAGAAAAGTCAACCATTTGGCACAGTAGAGCCTTATTTTTGTCCAGGAAAGCTCTCAGCTGCCAATCAAGGGAGAAATTACATTCTTCATAATTTCCAAGACCTAGCTGGAAAACAGGCTTGGTGGAGAGAAAAGTCCTCACAAAAACAGCTTAAAAAGGCCAAAGTACCATTTTTAGTAGGAATTCAAAGGAAAGCAATCCATATTCAAATCAAATGGATATGTATCAAAACAGACATTATTCTCAAGTCTTCCTGCAACAGAGGAAAACCAACATTAATTGGAAATCTGAACCCAATATAATCTAATAGCCGTGAGCAGTACAGGCGTTTGCTTATCTCCTTTTGTTGCCAAACATGAATACAAGCAATGGTACACATGTACACACGAGCACATGTGTGCACACTCGAACATGTGCACATAAACACACATACACAGTCTTCCCCAAAAGTGGCAGGTCTTGGGATTATAAAATTCAAATAGTATGCAGAATTCCTATTCCTATTTGTGTGAGGTGGAGGCGTGTGTGTGTGTGTGTGTGTGTGTGTGTGTGTGTGTGTGTGTGTGTGCATGCGCACGAATGTGTGGGCCAGAGGTCAACATCAGGTCTTTTTCGATCTCTCTCCACCGTATTTTTTTAGTCAGGGTCTCTCACTGAACCTGGAGCTCACCAACTCATGTAGACTGGTTGGATAGCAAGCTCCAAGTATCTGCCCATCTCTGAACCTTCAGCCCTGGCTTCTACGTGGGCACCAGGCATCTTATCTCGGGTCCTAGTGCTTGCATGCCCAGCATCTGGCTGACTGAGCCATCTCCCCAGACCCCTCTGTGCTTATTTTAAAACTCACCATTCACTTCTCACGTACACTCATAATATAGGTCAAGATGTAACTCCCATCTAACACAGCCCTTGCTGGCAGAAAGTAACTTTGACATCAGAGAAAAGATGGCTTCTGAGAGATTTTTCTACAAAAGGGAAGGCCTGAGGAAGCAGAAGACAAGTGAGCTGAGGAGAGACGGAGGGACGAAAAAAAGGAGGGTAGCACAAGAACATTGCTGTCTGCCACCACTAACATTTACTACGTTTTCCAGGTTAAAATGCTACACTCCTTTCACTCCTGTTACTTTCGGGGTTTTCGCCGTCAACTCCGACCCCAAAGGAGACACATAGGCTAGAGACTCCACAAGCCCAGATTCAGCAGAAAGAAAAGAGGAAACAGGACCAGGGAGGGTTTCTATAAAGATTTAACCAGTCTACACACTTTCAGGTATTCCTGCCCAGAATCCTATGGACGTTGGCTTTATTTCTATGATGATATAGGACAACCCTACATACCACAGTGAAGTGACTGGCAATCCGGGGTGCCTGCGCAGGGATCCAGAGTTTGGGGGTCTTTACTTGCCAGTCAGCCAGAAACTACCCACGGGGAGCAAAAGTCATCCTTTCCTCTCTTTGCTTCCCTGCCAGGGGAGGAATCCACCCCTCCAGCAACCCGGATAAAAAAACAGTGACCCATGAGCTACAGGGCTGCTCTGCCAGGCTGCTAAGTCAAGCAAGACTACAGCACAGACCCAAGCTGTAAACACCTCTGCAGACGGGTCCTTGCTCTCAACATGCCAGGCAAGAAAACTATTCTTAGAACAGTTAGCAGTTGGGGGAAAATAAATATTTGCCTATGGATGTCTATATTCCAATGGAGAAGGGCAGGGAAGGGACTGTGGAACCTCAAATGATGTGCCAACAGATTGCCACAGAATCCCTTAAGAGGCACCTGGCACTGGCTGGGCTCCACTGCAGGATCATGGTCATGAAAAGCAAGCACCCCAGAGGATTCAAAGGCAGCCTTAAATACCTGCTGGCAAGAGTCTTTCTCCAACACAAACACAGACCTACAGGAACTGGCACCATAGACATGGGCAGTGAACTCTTCTAGGGGTAAGAGCGGAATGCTAAGAAGCTAGAGTGATTGTGGTTGTTGTTGTTGTTGTTTAAACAAGAGGAAAGGCAGCTACAATTCCATTACAGTAAATCCCTTACTGACATTTATAGTCCCAGCTCTAATTCTTAACTGTGTTCTACATAAATGGCAAAGTTATCTCTTAAAGAGTTAAGCTTTCACAGGCATGACAGAAAACAAATATCAAAATTCAATAAATATATATGGGTACTACTCAGACCCATTCATTGTCCGGGTAATGATTCAAATTTGATATTGTTCCTTTACAGAACATATATTCCAAAAGCAATGTGCAAAGGCAGATTCGCAATGCCAGTCAGCTGAATTGAAACTCTAAGAAAAGACTAACTTCTCCCATTCAAAATGGGGGCCTGGCTTGGCTGTGTATACTTCATAGAACCTTCCATGTCCTGAAGGCCCGGGTTAGCTACAGACGGGAGGATAAGGTTTGTGGACACCCAAACTGATGGAAAGAGCCATTGTAAGTGAGGCTGGCAGTGCTAACCCAGCCTAGGCCCTGCTTTTTTTTTTTTTTTTTTGTTTTTTTTTTTTTTTTTTTTTTGGTTTTTCCAGACAGGGTTTCTCTGTGTAGCTTTGCGCCTTTCCTGGAACTCACTTGGTAGCCCAGG